GGTTTGAGTCTGGGCCTGGATCCACATCACAGTGCTTTGCTGCCTCCAGTCAGGCACCAGAGGCTCTAGTAATCACCAGAGGAAGGGCCTTGCATGGGATCCTGGCAGCTTGGGCTGGGAGCAGAGGCCCCCTTCTGGCTCCTGGCCAGTGTCAGGGCTTTGGCTGCCCTCTCTTCGGACATAGCACCTCATCTGAGGACAGAAAGAATGTTGCAGGCTGATATGGAGGCTGCTGCTGGTGAGGGTGGACGCTAGGATGGTAGGTCCCCAGGAGGAGGCCTCTGTGACCCAGCCACACAGAGCACAACCATATCTGCCTGCTGGGGGAGCGGTGACAAGAGGTCCACAGCAGAGCTGGAAAGAGGGTCCAGGAGTCTCAAAGAGAAGGCAGGCATGAGGCACTGGCCCCAACATCTAAGGAATATGTGGGACCCCTAGCCTTGCTGTCAGCAGTCACAGGCAGGAGAGAATCACCCTGTAGTGTCAGCGTATACCCCACCCACAGAGGGCCCAGGACAAAGCTTCCACCCATAGCTTCCTCCTTCTCCACCTTCTTCATCCCCCAGGAGAATGGAAGTCTACCCACACTGGGCTCTAATCCCCTCGAACAAGTCATCTGATGGCTCCAAGGCTCAGTGGTCTCGTCTGTAGGACACTGCTAAGAGTATCTACCACTCATCCACATGGAGAAACGAGCCCATAAACAACCCCCTTTCAGGAACATTGTTAGTAATAATAACAGCTACAATATACACACTATGCTGTGGACTCCTGGCACTGGACTGAGCGTATTCCTGGTATCCCGTCTCTGATTCCTCACACAGTTCTTTGTTGGGTAGACACTAGTGGTAGCCTCCTTTTATAGATGAAGAAACTGAGGTACAGAGTTTAAGTAATCTGCTCAAGACACGTAGCTGTAGGTGGCCCATGGCCGTGAGCCTAACCACTGCCCCATGCTTCCCAAGCACATTGTGAGTTCTCAGTAGGTGTCTCCTCCAGCACTCTGTGCCCCAGGCTTGCCTCCTCCATCCACCATCTATCCACGAAGCAGCGCAAGTGAGCTTCCAGTAATGCAGCTCTGAGCCTGGCTCTCACCTGCTTAAAGCACTTCCATGACTCCCCAGTGTTTTCAGGAAGAAGCCAAGATCCTCAGCCAGCTGTCAGTGTTCTCCATGAGCTGGTCTCTGCCACCCCTAGCCTAACCTCCTGCCACACTAGGGTCCCCGCAAGCACCAGCCAGAGCAAACCTCTTCCAGGCCCCCAAGTGTCAGGCCCCTTTTCATCTTTTTCTTTTTTTTAGATTTTATTTATTTATTCATGAGACAGAGAGAGAGAGAGAGGCAGGCAGAGACACAGAGGGAGAGGGAGAAGCAGGCTCCATGCAGGGAGCCCGATGAGGGACTCAATCCTGGGTCTCCAGGATCAGGCCCTGGCTGAAGGCGGCGCTAAACCACTGAGCCAACCAGGCTGCCCCCTTTTAATCTTTACATACCTGATTTGCCCTCTCTGGAATGTCCTTCTTCTTAGAGACGTCCCCCAAGGGTGCCCTCCCAGAGAAGTTTGTATGAGTGTCTTCCTCTGTGCTCTCAGAGTCCACTCTGCTGGCTTCTCCCATAGCAGATCTGCTCAAGGATGTACCTCAACCTCAGATTCCCTGCGTGGAGCCTGCTTCTCCCTCTGCCTGTGGCTCTGCCTCTCCTCTCTCTGTGTCTCTCATGAATAGATAAATAAGATATTTAAAAAAATGTACCTCAATCTATTTCTTCTGTACCTCCAGCTGTCACCCAGGATCCAACAGAGGCAAGAGGCTCGAACAGGTGTCTGACAGCTCAGAACAGAAATGGAGTACCTATGGCACCTTCCCCAGAGGATCCTGGGACACTCCAGGGCACTGGGATTGGCAGAAAGCCTGACGGAGCCATGAATTCACCTGAATTCCTCTGGCTCCAGTGCAAGCTGAGTACCTGTGAGGCCTGGGTGTTTGTTGCTTGAGCCATGAAGAGCTGTGTCCCCAGAGCCTGGAGCTGAGCCAGCTAGGGGAGTGGCACTACCATCTCACAGCTACTCGCTCAGGCCGCAGACGCCATGCTCTTAGCCCTGTGCTCTAGCATGTCTGCAAAATGCAGGCTCATTGATCCAACATATATTTTCAGGGCAACTATTATGGGCCAGGCAGGCACCATTCTGTGGTACAGGAGAGAACTAGACAAAGTCCCTGTTGCTAATGGTTCCTTCAGTAGAATAAGGGAAAAATAAGCAAACACAGATATAATACTTCAGATGGCGGACACCCGGGTGGCTCCGTGGTTGAGCATCTGCCTTCAGCTCAGGTCATGATCCCGGGGTCCTGGGATCGAGTCCCACATCGGGCTCCCTGCAGGGAGCCTGCTTCTCCTTTTTTTTTTTTTTTTTTTTTTTGAGCCTGCTTCTCCTCTGACAATGTCTCTGCCTCTCCCTGTGTGTCTCTCATGAATAAATAAGTAAAATATTTTTTAAAAAAAACTCAGATAATAATAGATATAATAAGGAAAAGCAAAGCCACCAGATAAGGGGACAAAGAGTAAGGGGAAGGGAGTAGTCTAGAAAGGCTTCTCAGAGGAGGTGCTGTGTAACAGGGGATGAGCCAAGAGAGTATCAGGGGGTTAAGGGTTTCAGAATAAGGGTACCACATCTGCAAAGGTCCTGAGGCTGGAGTGGAGTGACCCAAAGGAAGGAAAGGGTGGCATGAGAAGGATTTGGGGGAGGCACTCAGCTCACATAGGCTGTGAAGGCCAGGGTAAGGACTTTGGAGGTAACTAGGCCCCCGCATACACAGGTATTATTAAAGGGTGTGATGCATATGAAAACTGGGATGTAATAGATGCCCAATGGAAGGTCTTCATTCATATCTTTACTATCATGATAAACTACACATAACGTTTACCGTTTTAACCATGTTGAAGTGCACAATCCGGTGGCACTTAGTACATTCACCATGTGTGCAACCATTACCATTACTTAGTTCCAGAACATTTTCATCACTCCAAAAGGAAACCCCATGCCCATGAAGCAGTCACTCCCCATTTTACCCCTCCCAAGTCCTGGCAACCATGAATCTGCTTTCTGTCTGTGGATTTGCCTATTCTGGATATGAATAAATGGAGTCATATAACATGTGGCCTTTTTTTTTTTTAAACATGTGGCCTTTTGTCTCTGGCTTCTGTCACTCAGTGTCATGTTGTCAAGGTTCATTTGTGTTGTAGCATGTGTCGGTACTCTGTTCTTTTTCGTGACTCAGTAATATTCCATTGTAGGGATACACCACCTCTGTTTATTGATCAGTTGATGGACATTTGGGTTGGTTCCACCTTGTGACTACTGTGAATTATTCTCCTTTGAATATTCACGTACAAGTCTTTGAATACCTGTCTTCACTTCTAGGTAGAACTATTAGGTCCTATGGTAATTGGTAATTCCCTGGTGTTTTTTTTTTTTTAAGATTTTTAAAAAGATTTTATTTATTTATTTGACAAAGAGAGACTGAACACGAGCAGGGTCAGGTGATAGAGGGAGAGAGAGAAGCAGACTTCCCGCTGAGCAGGGAATCCCATTGCAGGGCTTCATCCCAGGACCCTGGGATCATGACCTGAGCTGAAAGCAGACACTCCACACACTGAGCCACCCAGGTGCCCCTAAGATTTTTTTTTAAGATTTTATTTATTTATTTGTTTATTTATTTATTTAAGACACACACACACACACACACAGAGACAGAGGCAGAGACACAGGCAGAGGGAGAAGCAGGCTCCATGCAGGGAGCCCAACGTGAGACTTGATCCTGGGTCTCCAGGATCACGCCCTGGGTCAAAGGTGGCGCTAAACCACTGAGCTACTCGGGCTGCCCGATTTTTTTTCTAAGTAGGCTTCCCACCCCACGTGGTACTTGAACTCACAGATCTGAGTTCAAAAGTTGGGATCCGGGATCCCTGGGTGGCGCAGCAGTTTGGCGCCTGCCTTTGGCCCAGGGCGCGATCCTGGAGACCCAAGATCGAATCCCACATCGGGCTCCCGGTGCATGGAGCCTGCTTCTCCCTCTGCCTGTGTCTCTGCCTCTCTCTCTCTCTCTGTGTGACTATCATAAATAAATAAAAAATAAAATAAAAAGTTGGGATCCTCAACCAACTGAGCCAACCAGGGGCCCCTCAAAATTTTTAAAGTAATCTCTCGGGCACCTGGGTGGCTCAGTGGTTGACCATCTGTCTTTGACTTGGGTCGTGATCCCGAGGACCTGGGATCGAGTCCTGCCTCAGGCTCCCCACAGGTAGCCTGCTTCTCCCTCTGCCTATGTTTCTACCATTCTCTCTGTGTTTCTCATGAATAAATAAATAAAATCAGAAAGAAAGAAAGAAAGAAAGAAAGAAAGAAAGAAAGAAAGAAAGAAAGAAAGAAAGAAAGAAAGAAAAAGAAAAGATCTATCCGCCCAATGTGGGACTCAAACTCACAACCCTGAGATCAAGAGTTGCATGCTGGGCAGCCCAGGTGGCTCAGCGGTTTAGCGCTGCCCTCAGCCCAGGGTGTGATCCTGGAGACCTGGAATCGAGTCCCACGTCAGGCTCACTGAATGGAGCCTGCTTCTCCCTCTGCTTGTGTCTCTGTCTCTGTCTCTCTCTCTCATGAATAAATAAATAAAATATTTTTTAAAAAAGAAAAAAATTAAAAAATAAAAAATAAAAGAGTTGCATGCTCTACCAACTGAGCCAACCAGCGCCCCAAATCTATGTTTAAGTACTGAGGAATAGCCAGTGGTTTTTTGAGGTGGTCAATAATATCTGCATTAGTATTATTACCTTAAAGCTACTGCACTCTATTTCCTCGAAAGGGCTGCTAGCCCCTCAGCTGTCTGTAACCCTGTCCACCAAGGCCAGTGACTTTAGATTCTGCTGCCTGTCCCCTCTGGCTCCTTCTCTACCCTCTTCCTCACCACAGCACTGGCCTTTGGCTCACCTGAGTCCATTTTGCAGGTGTTTGGTGACACAGAGCAGGTGCGTATGACCTCGGAGGGCTCTGACTGCCGCTGTAAGTGCATCATGCGGCCGCTGAGCAAGGATGCTTGCAGCCGCGTGCGCAGTGGACAGGCCCGGGTAGAAGATTACTACACTGTGGAGACAGTGAGCTCCGGAACTGACTGCCGCTGCTCCTGCACAGCACCACCCTCCTCGCTCAATCCCTGTGAGAACGAGTGGAAGATGGAGAAGCTCAAGAAGCAGGCACCGGAGCTCCTCAAGGTAGGCTTTGTGCAGGAGGGAATGGAGGGAACGCCTCCTGGATGAGTACCTAGTATGGGCTTGGTGGCAGGCTGTCCTTCCAACAGAAAATCCACACTCTGGGTAGGTGCCGCTGTTATCCCATTTCACAGGGGAGGAAACAGAGGCTCCCTGAGGGGAAGCCACTTCTTGCTCAAGACCATCAGCCAGTAAGTGATGGAGGCAGCATTCTTGGGCTAGCTTATGCTGAGCTCTGGCGGATCTGCAAAATGCAGGCTTGTTCATGCAGACTTGTTTTATGTCTACAGAGCACCTCCTACCAGCTAGGCAGGCAGTAGTTCTGGGGACATAGGAGGCAACTAGACAAAGGTCATGCCTTTGGTGGAGTACGGAAAACAGAAAGTAAGCAATAATCTTTTGTCATCAAGTTCACTGTACTGTATTTTACCCAAGCCAGTTCATCTGTTGGTACCTGAAGATAGTATTTTAAATTTTAAAGTTTGTAGCATTTTATTGTTTTTAATGTAATAAGAACATCTAGCATATTCAAGCACCACCTGCATGGCAAATGTTATGCTAAACTCTTTTGACACACCTTTTTCCTCTGAATTCTTAAACCAGTCTGAAATGTGCGATCACTGCTCTCGTTGTATAGGCAAGAAAACTGAGGTTTGGAGAAGTTAGGTAACTAGCCCAAGCTCTCACATAATGGCATGTAGCCTTGGGTCTATACCATACTTTTTTTCTTAATTTTTATTTATTTATGATAGTCACACACACACACAGAGAGAGAGAGAGGCAGAGACACAGGCAGAGGGAGAAGCAGGCTCCATGCACCGAGAGCCCGACGTGGGATTCGATCCCGGGTCTCCAGAATCGCGCCCTGGGCCAAAGGCAGGCGCCAAACCGCTGCGCCACCCAGGGATCCCCCTATACCATACTTTTATATGAATTTTATGCTTACCTTACCCCTAGCCACCTCCGTAGGCAGATCAGAAAGAAGCACCACCTCTGGGCAACACAGACCCAGGCCAGGGCCTGCCACCAGGACCCATGCTTGAATAGGCTTGCGCAGGCTGGATCACAGTCCCACAGCCAGCCAGGCGCCTTTGTGCAATTCATAACATGCCCAGCTCGGTGCTTGGTGAGGCTGGGATTTGAACCACATCTTGCTGTATCCAAAGCATGTGTTCTAAACCACCTTGTTTTCCTTTCTTCCTTTCTGTAATGGACTAGATGATTTTTGGTGTCTTTTGACAGTATCCTTTTCTTGTAGAATTTCTTCCAAACATATGAGCATCCATTTTGCCTTTTTTGGTATCAAGAACTGTGAAATTGACTGAGATGTCACCCTACTTGTAAGCTAACAAGTTAGCCAGCCAATTTCATGGATGCTGGCAGAAGACACAAGCCTGCTGGGTCAGAGACAAAGGACCTTATTACTCATAGCAGCCAGAGTACCTACATTTTCTTGAGCTGATTCTCCCAGCACCAGTTCCTATAGGCTGACACAGTGAAGACCAGATAGCACCTGCGCACACAGATTGGGGTATTTTTCAGGAGTGGAGCCCCAAGCTCAGAAAATCCGAATTTTTTATAAAGGGCACTGAACACGCCTTCCCTACTCTGGAGGGAAACTCTCTCTCTCTGTGTTTCAAGGCTGTTCCCTATACAGCACGATGTCCTGGAACAAAGATAGTGCCTCTGCATGCAAGACGTGCAGAAAAGCAAGAGACTCCTGAAAAATTGTCTCCAACATTTGGCTAAAGGTGTTTTATTTTTTAAAAAAAGATTTTATTGATTGATTGATTGATTGATGAGAGAGTGCCCCCAAGCAGTTGGGGGAGGGACCGAGAGAGAGGGAGAAGCAGACTCCCCGCTCAGCAGGGACCCCATTTAGGGACTCAATTTCAGGACTCTAGGATCATGACCTGAGCCAAAGGCAGATGCTTAACTGACTGAGCCACCCAGGCGCCCCTAAAACTGTTTTTCTTTAAATTTAACTTTAGTTTTATTTTTATAACAACTAAATGGATCACAAAACTCTTGAAGTTGGCATAAGTTTGAATTTTAAGCCAAGTTCTCTCTTAACCTTCCAGTTCCTGGACCACACTATCTCCCTGGGGCCTTACTAGGACCCTGCAAACTCTAGGCAGTGAGGCTATAGGTTAGTCTTCAGTTATAGGAAAAAAATCCAGCTTCTGCTCAAGTCCACTTCTCAATAACTAAGTTGTAAGTATAGTTTACACAAGGATACACAAAACCTTTTCATAAATTCTGGCTAATTTAATCCTTGCCACGATCCTTTGGTGAGGGAACTTTTGGTCGCAACTTGTGGAGGAATCTGAGGCCCAGAGAGGGATTGTGACCTGCCTAAGGTCTCACAGCAAGAAACTGGCAGCACTAAGATTTGAACTCAAGAATTCCCTGCTATGTCTCCTTGCCCATGGAAGGGGTCCCTAGGCAGCTCTTAGCCTGGAGCCCATTGTCCCTTAGGTCTTTCCAGTGCACAGCAGCCATTGTGGTTTTCATTCAGCCTTATAGGACTGGAGTGGGGTAGCAATGGGAGTGACTTATCAGGTGGTGTTGTAGAAGGAAGAGAAGATACTCTGTCTCATTCATATGGTAGGTGCAAGGGCAGGTACCTGAGAGGTAACCAGAGAACCCCAAGAGAAGGGGCTAGAGGCAGTGTGAGACAGGGCTGAGGCCCCTCCCATTAGATTTGGCTCCTCCTGCCTCAGCAGGAGGCTCTCTATGGGCAGCCCCCAGGAGAGGAGGTTAAGGGAAGCCTAAGGAGGAGGGGAAGCAGGGCACACCCATGTCCCCTTATCTCTACCCTAGCCCTTTCCTTCAAGCTAAGAACTCAACTTCAAGCTGTGATTTGGTCTTAGTTGCATGACTCTGAGTAGGAGGGAGAGGATTCTAGAGCCACACTTTTGGGGAGATAGGTGGCAGGTGCATGCTTTTCACCTACCTCTTCACTCCTTTTCCTTCTGTCCTTCTGGACATGAACTAGATAGACATGGCCCCACGCTTGAGGAATCCCCAGTCTCTTAGGGACACAGCTCCTAACTCCAATAGTTGGTCACTGGTGCTGGGACTCACTGATGTCCCAGGAACCATGGGAACCCAGAGGAGGGTTTTTTGGTTTGTTTTTTTTTTTTTTTTTTTTTTTTTAGAAACATTTTTTTTCTAAGATTTTATCTATTTATTTGACAGAGACAGCAAAGCAGAAGGAGCAGGAGAGGGAGAAGCAGGCTCCCCAGTGAGCGAGCAGGGATCCCGATGTGGGGCTCGATCTCAGGATTCTGGGATCATGACCTGAGCCAAACCAAGTTGGTTAAGTCAGACGCTTAACCAACTGAGCCACCCAGGCACCCCATTAGAGCTGGGCTTTGAGGGCAGCCCTGGTGGCTCAGCGGTTTAGCGCCACCTCCAGCCTGGGGTGTGATCCTGGAGACCCGGGATCGAGTCCCGCGTCGGGCTCCCTGCATGGAGCCTGCTTCTCCCTCTGCCTGCGTCTCTGACTCTCTCTCTCTCTGTGTATGTCTCTCATGAATAAATAAATAAAATCTTAAAAGAAAAAAAGAGCTGGGCTTTGAAGGATGAGTAGGAGTCCCTCAGGTAGAGAAGAAAGGAGAGCATTATGAGTGAGAGCAAGTGGAATAGATGTGGCCCCAGGATGGCTCCCTGCCCTCTCTCTGCTCTAGCGCCACTAGCCACCTGTCAATTCCTCTAACACAGGGCTTCTCAAATTACCTGTGGTGAAGGACTAATTTTTAAAAAACTAGAATCAGCACTTTTGGAAAGTGCCATAAAAATGAAGTATTAGAAAAATGAAACAAAAACAGGCATGTAAAATACAAGTCCAATGTTTTACTATTAGAGTCAACAGATAAAAAAATTTCTCTGTCAGAGAGGCCTGAGAGTTTACAAAAGTCTACTCTCGCTTTTGGCAATTATTTTATCACAGCTCAGTAACAAGTAGCTTGAACTGGCGCTAATCTGCGGACCGCACTCTGAGTAGCATGATCCCAACACACCATGTCTCTTCACACCTCTGGCTCTTTGCACAAGCTGTTCCCTTGGCCTGGAATGCCCTTGTCCTGCCATCTTTGCCTAATTTATGTTCTTCCTGCAGAGCTCAGCTCAAGCAAAACTCCCTCCTGGCATACTTCACTAATCCGCATCTGCTCCTAGACAGGGTCTGCACCCAGTCGTTAATGGTCTGAGTGCCTCTCTGATTCCCTGTTCTTTCATAGCCCGTGAAGGATTGTGAAGGTTGTGTCTTAGTCCTCATTGTCCTTGGTGCCTGGCCCAGAGGAAACATTTGCTGAGGTCAAAGAGGATGCAGGGGTGGGGGGTGGTACCCAGCGGTTTAGCGCCGCCTTCAGCCCAGGGCGTGATCCCGGAGATCCAGGATCAAGTCCCACGTCGGGCTCCTGGCATGGAGCCTGCTTTCCCTCTGCCTGTGTCTCTGCCTCTCTCTCTCTCTCTCTCTCTCTCTCTCTCTCTCTCTCTGCCTCTCATGAATAAATAAATAAAATCTTAAAAAAAAAAAAAAGAGGATGCAGGGGCAGACCATGGAGGGCTCCAATGCCAGGTTTAGGAGGTGCAAAGCCACACATGAGCTGTGGGGAGCCATGGCGAGTTATTAGCAGGGTCAAACCTGTGTTTTGGAAAGCCAGTTTGGGTAGCCATGAAGGCAACAGAGTGAAGCTGGGAGGATCCCCCATAGCCCCCTGGAATGGTATCATTATTGCTGATACTCACAAAGCATTTGCTGTGTGTCCACTCTGTGCTGAGCCCTGTCCACACACTAGTGTTCCTTACCACAGCCCTATTGTCTCATTTCACAAGGGGTATTGAGTAACTCTTCAGGGTCTGAGCAAGGTTACAGGGGAGCAGACAAGACTCAAGGTCCAATCCCTGCCTCCATAAGACTTCTCCACTCCCTTTTTTCCATTTTACTGATTAATGTCTACTCAAAGAAAGGCTCCCTGGCTTCAAACAGTTTGAACACCCCTGGGAGAGTGGGAGTAAAACTGTGTTGGAAACAGTTGGCCAGGGCCAAACAGGCACGCTGGCCTGCTCAAACCCTGAGAAATGCTGCAGGGCTCAGAGTAGGGCCATGAGAGAGGGTAGGTGGGAGGAACTGCCCTTCTCGAGAAGCCGGTGGATGCTGATTTCCCAGCCAGCCCCTTGTGCCATGGTTTCTCTGACACTCACGGGCGTCTTGGCCATCTGGAGGGAAGGTCATGTCCTAATGACACAGGGTGGAGAGAGGAAGAGGAGGGGCAGCTGCAGGGAGGAGCCCTGGGCGACACAGTATCTGCCACTGACCTGTTTGTTGTGCAAGCTCTTCCCTTTTTCTTAGCCTCAGTTTTCCCATCTGGACACAAGCGGGTAAAGCACAATAGCAAAGGGGTTTTGGCTTATACCAATCTGGGTTCTACCACCAGCCCCACCATTTAACAAATGGGTGGCTTTGGACAAGTCACTTCACCTAGGCTGCAGTTTCTTATTTTGTAAGACAAAGATAAAAAGTTGTTCAGACCTTGTCCAGAGGCCTGGCCAGCTCAGTTGGTAGAGCATGCGACTGTTGATCTCGAGGTTGTGAGTTCAAGCCCCACGGTAGGCATAGAGATTCCTTTAAAAAAAAAAAAAAAGTTAGGACGCCTGGGTGGCTCAGCGGTTTAGTGCCTGCCTTTAGCCCAGGGTGTGATCCTGGAGTCCTCGGATCGATTCCCGCATCAGGCTCCCTGCATGGAGCCTGCTTCTCCCTCTGCCTCTGCCTCTGTCTCTGCCTCTCTCTCTCTCTCATAAATAAATAAAATCTTAAAAAAAAAAAAAAAAGCTGTTCAGACCTTGTCTTTTTGGGGTCCTTAGGTGCAGACTCTAAGGCACATGATTCATGTTCCAGTGATTTATTATTAAAATGTTCTTGGGACACCTGGATGGCTCAGCAGGTGAGCGTCTGCCTTTGGCTCAGGGTGTGATCCTAGGATCTGAATCTAGTCCCACATTGGGCTCCCTGCAAGAAGCCTGCTTCTCCCTCTACCTGTATCTCTGCCTCTTCTCTGTGTCTTTCATGAATAAATAAATAAATCTTTAAAAAGAAAGAAAGAAAGAAAGAAAGAAAGAAAGAAAGAAAAAGAAAGAAAGAAAGAAAGAAAGAAAGAAAGAAAGAAAGAAAGAAAGAGAAAGAAGAAAGAAAGAAAGAAAGAAAGAAAGAAAGAAAGAAAGAAAGAAAGAAAAAAAAAAGAAAAGAAAAAAAAAGAAAATGTTCCCAGGAGAAGCTGGTACCAAAGTAAAAGAAGTGGGAGTGGAAAAAGTAGGAAGCCCAGTAGGGTGTGGGCTCAGGCCAAGCTACAGCTACAGCCCCAGCCCCAGCCCCAACCCCAGGGGATGCTGGAGATGCTGGAGTGTGAATGACCGCTCAGTTGTCCCCACTGAAGCTAGGGAGCTGGGCTTTTGGATGCCTGCACCTGTCAGGCATTGCCTAAGGACGGCCCCAGGAGGACATACTCTCCCAGGCAGTTTGGGGACATAACGTCTCTTTAAAGAAAGTCACAGATGCAGGCTGTCAAGAAGGCACATGGAAGCCAGGTATGGGCACAAGAAACAAATGAGAAGGATCCCAGGCATGCAGAATGATCTCCTCTAGCGTTCACTACATACCTTGTGTAATGAGGATGAAGTGAAATAGCCTATTACAGCCCCTCATACAGTGCCTGCCTCATAGTAAGTGCTCAGAAGATGGAATCTATTGCTTTTCTTGTGATGATTATTAGCAAGCTGGGTCTAGTGGGTGCTGAGGTCCCATGCAGGCTATTTCAAGTGGTGGGGCTCCTTTTGCACCCTTTGTGCCTGATCCTGTGCTCTGCCCTTGCCCTAACCTGCACCCTTTCCCTGGCAGCTACAGTCCATGGTGGATCTCCTGGAAGGTACCTTATACAGCATGGACCTGATGAAAGTGCATGCCTATGTCCACAAGGTGGCCTCCCAGATGAACACCCTGGAAGAGGTAAGGACAGATCTACCTGGGAGCCAGGCTGGGTCAACACTTGGGGCCAAGGGGCAGGTCTGAAGGGGTCTGAGCAATTCTACCTTAACCCCAGTGGCTGTTGAAAACCAGACTCCAGCAGGGAACTAGGAGCAGGAGATGCAGGCCTCTGGGTCCCCACTTTGGAAAAAAGGTCTGACTGGGGGTCATGGGCCTACAGGAGGCTGGAAGGCTGGGTGGAGAAACTGAGGCACCAGCTGACTGCATGAAAAGGATGTGGAGGGGGCTGGCAAGAACTTGCAGTTGCCTTCAGTTCACTAAGACCAAGACTCGCACATTGTACAATACCAAGGTCACAAGTCCCATAAAATGCCACACAAAAGTGCAGGACTGGCCAGGCCTACTGGGGCAGGGCTTAAGACCGCATGGCTGGCCCAGTACCCGGTTGCAATCAAGGCAGAGGTGCTGAGCATCTTCTGTGCAGATGTGCTGGAGGGCTAGGCAGGTGGCCAGGACTGCCGCCTGAGGGCAGTGACAGAGTTGGGCAATCGTGAGGATCCAGGCTGCAGGTTCAAAGTTTGCTGGCACACATCTCTGCTGACGTGGCCTGGCCTCTGCCTGTTTCCTGCATCCGGCCCCTGCTGGGCTGCTGGGAGCCTGGGGACATGCAGCTGCCAGGAGCGGGTGTGGGGGCTTCCTTTCCCAGCTTCCTTTCTGGAGGGAGGGGGCACCTGGGCATCCTGTGCCCAAGAGTGGGAGATTAACTGCTTACAATCCTCAAAATTGGGGTCACAGTGGCTTTAGTCATCCAAAAAGTGTTTGGTGTGTATGTACTATGTGCCAGGTCCTTGCCAACATGGGAGTAGAGTATCAGTTGTTGGATTTCTACTGTGCACCAGGATTTTCTGTGCACCTAGGACATGCCAGGCTCTCCTGTCACTGGCTCTGGATTTATCCTACTTTGACCCTTCCTCCTATAATCTTAGGAAATGTTAACTCATCTTATATAACTATGAGCCAGACGATCTGGAGGGTATGTCTGCTGTGGCTGGAACAAATCAGAAATGGTTTCCGTAGCCACAAAGAAATGATTTTTTAATTATCTTCTGTTTTGCATTATCTGTGCTTTGCTTCTGTTCACTAAGCGATAACTCTTAAAAAAAAAAAAAAGCTTATTGCTATCTCTGGGTGGAGGTGGAGAAAACAGTCTCACTCGGGAGGAACTGGCTTCCTCTGTTCAAAGGAAAAACATCACTCCCTCACTTTTTAAATAAGACATTAATAATTACATGGTCTCTTGGCAGCATGCTTTATCCATCCATGCCTGCTGCTGCTATCAAAACCTATACCTGGGCCCTGCTCAGGAGACTGGGCAGTGAAGCCTGATGGCAGAAGCTGGGATATCCCCTCCAGGGTGGTGGTGCTGGGGGGTAGCTGACTGAGGAGACTAGAAAGACCTTGGAGTCCTGCCCTACAGAGCGTCAAGGTGAACCTGAGCCGGGAGAATGAGGTAGTGAAGGAGAGCATGCGCCACCTGAGTGAGCAGCTGAAGCGCTATGAGAATCACTCTGCCATCATGATGGGCATCAAGAAGGAGCTCTCCAGCCTGGGCCTCCAGCTGCTGCAGAAGGACGCAACCTCTGTCTCAGCCGCTGCCCCAGCCCCCGGCCCTGCTAGCAAGGCTCAGGTGAGGCCATGGCTCTGGTGATGGGGCCAGGAGGTGGGTGGGCTTAGGAAGACAGTGTGGCAAGACCTCAGTCCCAACGGCAGGGCTGAGGGTTGGCACAGCTGGAGGGCCCATGGCCAGATGGGGGGTAAGGGTGCCTGCAGTGCAGCACACATAGTTGAAAGAGGTAAACGGGGAGCAGATGTGGAGATCCAGATGAGGGGTCTGTGTGCTGGGGAAGGCATTTGGCGGTCTTCTCATTCCCATTTCCAAACCAGTAGAGACAAAGCTGTAGATATGACCCTCCCTGCCTGGCCCTGGGAAGCCAGGTGGGCTGCCGCAAAACCACTTCTAGCCTCCCCTAGTGTGGTAGGGCTGCTGGCGGGGTCAGGCCTGCTCAGGGGTAGGTAAGCAATGCGTCAGGGACCCTACAGACTCACACCACTTCATCAACCAATCCGGGGTGGATGATTCTTGCAGCAAACACCCAGACATGCCATATTCCTGAGCACAGTGAGCAGAGACACCAGGCAGAACCACCCAAGATATATAATACTCCTTTATGCACATTTGAAAAAGGCCCTCCTTTAGGCAGATAAAATTGCCAAAAGGGCCAATAATGAGAAGCTCCCTAGAGGTGGGCAAATTGTACAGAGTCTCCTTCCTATGGTAGATACACACTAGGGCGTGTGCTTGGCAAATGCAAGTACAGGCTTGATCCCCATGCCATTCGACCTCCTGAGGCCAGCCACCCACCTGCTGGCCGCAGCCGCTCCATTCCCCACTACAGCCTTGTGTCTCGTGTGGGGAATCCAAAAATCCTCAAAATTGGATTCCTGAAGCCTAAACCTGACTTCCTTACAGACATTATCTCAGTTAATCCCATGACCACCTGCAAGAGGGCCCATTGGTGCCTGTTTGGCAGATGAGGAAGCAGAGGGTGAGGTCACAGGGAGAAAGGGTCGCTGCCCAGGGACTGGAGCATGGGCTTGCATGACCAGCAGGCCCTGTTCTTCATCTCAGCCCCTCAGCCCCTGTGCTGACACTGTGATGATGGGGCACTCCATGTGTGCTGCTACAGGGTGGAAGCCTGGTGCCTTGGCCCAGGGCAGGCTTCCTGCTCATCCCCAGGTCAGGTCCACAGGTGCAAAGCAATGCTGTTTTGGCCACAGCACAGAAGGTCTAGATACTGTACTTGCCGTATCTCCCGCCTAACAATGGGTGATGTCACCAGGGCCTGTGTTCTTGTGCCAAGCCGGCATCAGAGGCATTTAGAAGGAACTTTACAGAACTTTAGAAACCGCATGCACTGAGGGCAGTGGCCTTGGGGACCGACTATCCAATTCTGCCTGAGTGAGACCAAAGGGTTTCCCAGGTTGTAGGACTCTCAAAGCTAACACTGGGAAAGTTCCGGGCACACTGAGATGGATCATCACCCTGCCCTGGGGCCTGAGAACCTCTCCCCTGACCACAAATGAAGATCCACAAGCCGGGAGACAGGGATGGGAAGCTGCCCCTATGATCAGCTACCTCCTTAGGTAATTAACCAGTATAATGTAACACACACACACACACACACACACACACACACACACCCTGGGGGTGGGGAGGGTGAGTGTACAGGGATTTGGAAATGGAACAGGAACCTAACCTATCAGGTTGGGCTTCAAGCCTGCAGGGAAGCTGGTGAGCTGAATGGGGAAACTAAGGCACGCCCCAGTCAGGATTATCGCCACTATGGGAGGAAAGCCATGAGTTCATGAGCCCCTGAGATCGGCCTGGAGCGGCATGACCACTTTCCAGCCCCCACAGGCTGAGCTTCTGTGACCTCCCAGGACACCCTTCCCACCTCCCCACATTGACATTTCCCTTCTCTTTCAGGACACAGCTGGAGGGAAGGGCAAAGACAATACCAAATACAGCAACATGCAGAAGAGCTTTGTTGACCGAGGTCTCACCAAACCTAAGGAGAAGCTGCTAAAGGCAGAGAAGCCAAGGAAGGAAGGTGGCAAGGGCAGATTCCCCCTGCCCACAGCCAAGCCCCGGACCCTGGCCCAGCAGCAGGCCGTGATCCGAGGCATCACCTACTACAAGGCAGGCAGGAAGGAGGTGTCCGAGGCTGTGGCCGGTGAGTTGGAGAAGGACTAGACCCTGGGAGGGACAGGGCAGGGAGTCGGGGGTTGCTAATGGGTGGCTACACCCCAAGGATGTAGCCTCCGGGGAGCCAGTGTCTTCTCTAGATCTCAGCTCCACTGCCTCTTGGTATACTGGGCTCATCCACGCGATGGGATAGTGCTCCTCGTGGGGTCGTTGGGACGAAATAATAGAATCCACACAAAGGCCCACCCAGTTCCTTTCCTGTACTTTGAGCTGCCTCCGCCCCTCCTGGACTTTCCCTTCTTCCATCAGAGATTTGCTGAGGATCCGCTAGGTGCATGTCAGATCTCCCCAGAGATCTGCCTAACACGGGCATCGCAGTCCAGTAGGGAAAAAAACATGCCCATGACCAGGTGGCAGCCACAGGTTGGGTGGGAGCCCCAGGAGCTATGGAGCCAGGCCAGGGTTCTGGGAAGTGATGTGCGGCCTTCAGAGTACCTCTTGTTTCCAGAGTGCCCTTGGAATGGATGGTCTCCCACTTCTTTTTTTTTCCCAAAGTAGAGCCCACAGAGTCTCGTATTTTTCCTATAATCCATGGGGGATCACAGTGAAGGGCAACCAAGTAATTAACCAAAAAAAAAAAAAAAAGAGAGAGAGAGAGAAAAGTCCCAAGAGTACCCAAATTTCAGGGCCATCCCCACTGGTGTGGCTCCCGATTCTTCCTCTGAGACCCTCCCCAAATGCCTGCTCCCCTCTCATGTCCCAGAGAGGTGTCCAAGCCTGCTCCCCCACCAGGGTCCTGCTGACCACCCCTTTCACTGACGCCCACTGCCTACCCCATGTCTAAGGGGCCAGGAGATAGAAATGTGAGGGACCGGTGTTCAAAAGCCACCCCTCCTCCCTAAATTCTTGGCCTCTCAAAGCTCAGGGGCCTCTTTCCAGAGCCGCTGGTGCTAGCTACTGGCTCTGAGTCCTGCCAGCTCAGCCTGGCCACAGTACAGAGCCTCTGACCCCTGGCTGGGCACTGCCCAAGAACAGCTGCAAGCATCTGGCTCTGCCAGCGAGGCCCGTGGGAACAAAGCCCTTGCCCTGGCAGGCTGCCAAGGCCAGGCCACCCTAGAGGGTGTGTTCCATCCCTAAGGGCTGCCCCACAATGGAGCCTGGCTGAACCCTATGCAAAGAGGAAGCCTGGCAGGGAAAGAAAATGAAGAAGTCGGGTCATTGTCGTGGATTCAAAGGGCCTCATCCTCTGAGGGCCACACCATGCCCTTTCCTTTGTCCCTGGAATAGATTTTCTGTTCATACACGCTGTTCCACTAGATCCAGGTAAGGAGACAAGCTCAGAGAGGTGAAGAGACTGGCTCCAGGTTTCACAGCGAGTTGGTGGGACGGGGACCCAGATCAGTGGGCTACAGAGCCTGCCTCAGACCCCTCCCCAGCTCTGTGCCCTGCTGTGTGGCATTGATTCTTCCTGTTTTCCCTACCCAGACCCCATCCATCCCAGCCAGACAAGTGTGTGGGTCAGGGATGACCCAGAGATGGCCCCATACAGGTCCCACGGGAGCTGAAAAAGTCATCCTATCAGCAAAGGCCTTGCCAGCAGGGGTGGGAGAAATGGGGTCCGGGGGTGCCCAGACAGCCTCAAGATCAGAAATAGGAGATGAATGAGGGGACAGAGAGACAGACACCTGGGGTCCGGAGGTGATGGGAGGCTGGCTATGCCTGCCCCCTCCCTGCCTGAAATGGCAAATACTGGGTGAGAGGAACTGCAGGCTGGGTTCCAGAGGGGAGGACTAGGAGAAAGTCTATAAAATGAGAGCCAGGTTTCTGCCTCCTGGAGTTGAGTCTAGGACATGAAAGAATTGGTATAGGGACGCCTGGGTGGCTCCGTGGTTTGGTGCCTGCCTTTGGCTCAGGGCGTGATCCTGGAGTCCTAGGATTGGGTCCCACATCAGGCTCCCTGCATGGAGCCTGCTTCTCCCTCTGCCTCTGTCTCTGCTCTCTTTCTGTGTCTCTCATGAATAAATCAACAAAATCTTTTAAAAAAAAATAATAACCTGAACCATTTCTTAAAAAAAGAAAGAAAGAGAGAGAGAGAGAGAAAGAAAGAAAAAGAAAGAAAGAAAGAAAGAAAGAAAGAAAGAAAGAAAGAAAGAAAGAAAGAAAGAAAGAAAGAAAGAATTGGTATAAAGTGTTTGACACTTAGGAGGGCAGGGGTCTCTGGGATCCCTGGGTGGCGCAGCGGTTTGGCGCCTGCCTTTGGCCCAGGGCGCGATCCTGGAGACCCGGGATCGAATCCCACGTCGGGCTCCCGGTGCATGGAGCCTGCTTCTCCCTCTGCCTGTGTTTCTGCCTCTCTCTCTCTCTCTCTGTGTGACTATCATAAATAAATAAATAATTAAAAATTAAAAAAAAAAAGGAGGGCAGGGGTCTCATATTTGGCACCTCATGCTTGCCAGGACCTGTGCAAGTGAGGTGTATACATTTTCCTCTGATCAACACAATAGCATAACCACAGTGGGCCTTTTGACTCTTGTTTCATAGAAAGGGAGGCTGAGGCCCACCAGGGCAGGGGAGTTGGCCAAGATCACGCAACTGGGGGCCTTGGAGCCAGTCTACTGACCACAAAGTCTCCCTACCACCTACTTTTTGAGTCCTTTCACCCTGAGGAGTGAAAGATATGAAGGTCCCCCTTCTCTCCGCCATGGCCTCGGAGCTGGGAGCCAGGTGGGCCTGGGGAGGATCCTGGGCAGCCGCATAGGACATGAGCACAGGTCCTCTCTCTACAGATAACGCCCTCAAGAGCACTTCCTGGCTGGAACAGATGCCGCCCAGGTTGGAGGGCAGGCCACCAGAGCTCAACTCAGCAGAACATGATGAGGCTGGGCCCAGGGCCTCAGAAGGAGCAGACTTGACCTCTGACACTCCCAGTTCAGATCCGGCCACCACCCCCACCCTGACTCCCACCACCCAGCCCCAGCCCACCAAGCCACCTTCACACCCAGATGTCCCAAGCCAAGGTGAGTAGGCCTCATAGGAGTCAGCAGAGTACAGCCCCTGGGCCAGATCCAACCTGCAGCCTGTTTTTTTATGACCCTTGAGCTTAAGAACAGTTTTTTACATTTTTAAAGGGTTGTTAGAAAAAAAGAATACAGGACAGACGTATATGGTCTAGAAAGCCTAAAATGTGTACTATTTGATCCTTTCTAGAAAGTCTGAGCACATTTAGTCAAACAGTATTTTCAACAAATCCTTCCTAACACATCACCTAGAATCCCATCATCCAATCCAGCAACTATTTTCACTTCTTTATTTTCTTATGTCCACGTTTGTAGCTTTGGCTTGTGCCTTTCAGTAGAAATATTTTCCACTAAATCACCGACCTGGAGGGCACCTTTGATACCTGTGATAACAAGGTATTGTTAAACCCATCCCCTGCTTTGGTCTGAATGCATTCTGCTTCCTGGAATCTTCCTAAAGGGTCCGTCTGCAATGTGGACAGCAGCTACCACTTATCTGGCTCCCCCCACAGCCCATTTCCAATGTCAGAAAACTGGAAATAATCTGAAGGTCTAACACTGAGGGGACTGGGGCAGAGCTGTCTGGTGGCTTGGTAGAGCCTTGAAATCACATCATTAAAAACCCATTAATGATGTGAGAAATTGCTCAGTGGAGGGCAAAAACAGGATACATAAAACTATATATTCAGAAGAACCACAGTTTTTTTTTGTTTTTTTTGTTTTTTTTTTTAGAACCATAGTTTTTTTAAAGTATGTCCACATGACTGTATATGCAAAGAAAAAAAATAGAAGGAAATACAACATGTTTCAGTTTTTCTTTGGATAATGACATTTTTCATGATTTTTATTTTCTTTGTTCTCCTTTGCTGAATGTTCTGTTTTCTACAATAATCAAACATTGCTTTGGTCCTCAGGAAAGGGGGGAAAGGCTGCAAACAAAATAACCGGGAGGGATGTAGGTAAGACCCAGATAAACTTTCTCAGGGCTGTTGCTCTGGCTCGAGGCCTGGGGTCTGAGTGCCAGATGCAGTACCCCTCACTCCCTGCAGGCAGAGAGATGAGCTGTGAGGGCACCTTGCGGGCCGTGGACCCCCCTGTGAGGCATCACAGCTATGGACGCCATGAAGGAGCCTGGATGAAGGACCCCTCCGCGAAGGATGACAGGATCTATGTCACCAACTACTACTATGGGAACAGCTTGGTGGAGTTCCGCAACCTGGAGAACTTCAAGCAAGGTTGGAGAGCTGGGAGATGGGAGGAGGTGTGGCACGGTGCCCATGGTGTGGGCAGTCTGAGGAGGGTCTCCCATGGAGACTGGGCCCTCCTTTCCCTTTCCCAGCCTGGTCCAGCTCCAAATGATCAGTCACCCCAAAGAGGAGCATCTGAGGGCACCCCCCATGGGCCGGCACAGAGCCAGGAATGGGAGTGTGGCAACCAACAAGATGGATGTGGTCCTGCCCCTGTGAGCATAACTTACTGTCAAGGCCAACAATACCGAGAGCTTCCTCTTCTCGAGTATTTATTATATGCTAATCTTGCTATGTGCATCAACTCGTGGTAGCTTCATAATTCTATGGGGTGGGGGTTATCTCTCAGTTATACAGATGAGCAGAGCCCCAGGCCTGAGAGGAGCTGCAAGTCTGGGCAGGGAAGAGCAGGATTTTGGTTATCAGATCTGCGGCATGATGGGGGAGAGGGTCATTTAGGCAAGACCAACCCACCAGCAATGCACAGATGGGAGAGGCAAAGACCTCTCCTCCCTACACTGAAAGATATAATTTCAGTGTAGTGTTTGAGGGAGAGCTCAAGGGACTGTGGAACCCCAAACGAGATCAGAGAAGACTTCCCCAAGGAGGAGGTGATGCTGACTGAGCTGAGCCCTGTTGGGAGAGCAGGAATAAGCCAAGCAAAAGGGAAAGGGCGGGGGGGGGGGGTCCAAACTGAAAGCCCAGAGTGTGCCAAGGCCTGGCAAGGAGAAGCAGGATGGCATGGAAGGGAGGTGGGGAAGCATAAGGAGAGAGTAGGCTCAGTCAGACCCTGTAAGCCACATCAAAGTTTGGATTTTGATCCAAACTCACAGGATATGGCCTGGAACAGCCAAAGTCCTTCCCTCTGCCAGGTCAAAATTGACCTGGGACCTGCCGCAAGTGGTTCACAGGCTGGTGTGGAGGAAGCCAGTGAAAAGTGCTAAGACAAGGGTTATGGGAGGCCAGAGGAGAGGCCCTCCCTCAAGCCTGGGGAGGTCATGGAAGCCTTTCGGGAGGAGGTAACATTGGCAGCGGGCTCTGAAAGATACGGAGGCATTCTGCTAGGCAAGTAGTATGGGAAATGACAGTCCAGACAAAAGGAACAGCATGGGCAAAAGCTCTGAGACAAAGCACAGGGGCTGTCTAAATCCTGGCTATGACAATCCATAACTGGGTGACCTTGAACCCTCTGATCCTGTTTTGTCCTTGGCATATGGGATGCTAACAGTACCTGCTTCACAGTCCCGGTGACATAAGATGATGGGCCCAACTTCAAACCCATGGCCTACTCAGTATTCCTTGCTTACTGAGCCACTCAAGAGCCCTGGGTGGCTTGCCAGGCCCTAGCGTGACCATCTGCCCTCCACACAGGCCGTTGGAGTAACATGTACAAGCTGCCCTACAACTGGATCGGCACGGGCCATGTGGTGTACCAGGGTGCCTTCTACTACAACCGTGCCTTCACCAAGAACATCATCAAGTATGACCTGAGGCAGCGATTCGTCGCTTCCTGGGCACTGCTGCCCGACGTGGTATATGAAGACACCACTCCCTGGAAGTGGCGTGGCCACTCAGACATCGACTTCGCCGTGGACGAGAGTGGCCTGTGGGTCATCTACCCTGCTGTGGATGACCGCGATGAGGCCCAGCCCGAGGTGATCGTGCTGAGCCGCCTGGACCCCAGCGACCTCTCCATGCACCGGGAGACCACATGGAAGACACGGCTGCGGCGGAACTCCTACGGGAACTGCTTCCTGGTGTGCGGCATCCTGTATGCCGTTGACACGTACAACCAGAAGGAGGGCCAGGTGGCCTATGCCTTCGACACGCACACAGGCACCGACGCCCGCCCGCAGCTGCCCTTCCTCAACGAGCACGCCTACACCACCCAGATCGACTACAATCCCAAGGAGCGGGTATTATACGCCTGGGACAACGGCCACCAGCTCACCTACACCCTCCACTTCGTGGTCTGAGCCCAGACCTGTGCTCACAGGAGAGGAGTGGCAGGGGATATGGGGGCTCCTCCACAGCAACTCCTGCAAGGGGCTCCATCAGCAAAATTTATTGGAGTCTAGCCCCGGGGCAGGTGCTAGACATGTGGTGCAGCCAGGATAAAGCTTCCTTGGCACCAGGTGGATTAATAATCCCTTCCACTTGCAGAGCACTATGCCAAGAGCTTCACATGCACAAACCCATTCAATCCTCCCAGTAGCACCCTCAGAGATAAGAGATATTTAAGCCCACTTAACAGATGAGGACACTGAGGCTCAGAGAGACCTATCTCTTGCCTAAGTAGCCTCAGCTTGGATCAGGCAAGCCAGGCTGTCACAATAGCCCTATTTTACAGATGAGGAGACCTGACCGTGCTCCCCTACACCTCCAGGCCTCTCCCCACTCTTCTAGTTTCTCTTGTACTCTCAACTCTCACTCAAAAGCAGAGGCCTCTGGGACCTATGCACTCGTGCTGTTGGAGGCTCCACGCTGTGTACCACCCCAGGCCCCCGCTCTAGCTGACATGCTGGTGGCCCTGGGCTTCAGGCTCCCTGGCTAATGTTCCTGCTCCTTGCCTTTGGTCACCCCACCACCACCACCCACCTCACCCTCTGTCCAACCACATTCCAAACCTCCGTGGTCACCCAGCAACTGAGCATAAACCACACCCCGAGGAAAAATACTGGCCCCTGTTCCAAGGTCCCCTCCCTCAGCATTTATGTTTACTTTCTCCTATTGCTCCTCAGTGCTGTCATTTGTTTCTACAGCAGCAGCTGAGGAGGACGCAGGCAGCTGCCTGCCAGGCCCAACTTTACCAGGGTGAGGACCTGGGCCAGGTCCCTCTCCCCCCAGAAGTGCTGGCTTTGGCCCCACATACCCGGGCCCTGGGACCTCTCCTCAGCTCCTCCCAGAGCCTTTGGGCCTGGGCTCCATGTTGTTCTTTCTCTCTGGACCTTTGAACCCACAACCTACCTGCCACTCAGGGATACCTCCAGGTCTTCCATGAGCAAGACCCTGCACCCAGGGCTGGGGTGGTGCCAAGATGAAACAGATTCCTTCTTTGTCAGTCCTGACCCGGTCATTTGTTGGAATGGCCTAGCAGTTTTTGGCGTGGTTAGGGGTCCTGGAGGAGGCGGAGATCTAAGCAGTTGGGTCCAGAAGAGGCATTGGACCTTATGATTGCAGGGAAGTGCTTGAGGGTGGAAGCTAGAAAGGAAGGGGAAGGAGGTCTGTGGACTGGGCTTTTCTAGGCTTCAGAGTTGTTGGTGCCAGGCTGCCCTGAGCCCAGGCCTTGGGGCTGAGGAGGCACAGGTGGACCATCTGTTACCTGTGCTGCTGGTGGCTCCCCTGAGCCTCAGACCCAGACAGTCCACAGGACAAGCCTTTAAGCTTGCACCTCATCTGCTTTGGATAGTAGTATTTTTAGAGCTAGGAAGAAGTTCACCAGTCCAACTCCCTGTTTCAGCAAAGGAAAAAGAGGCCCAGAGAGCTTTAGAGAGTGGCTTGGGCCACACTGAGCAACAGGACACAGCTGATCTTCCAGAAGGGCTTTGTCTATAGCCTTCATTCTTCCTTCGAGGCAGCTCTGCCTGGGAAGGCCACAGACTACCAAGCGCGCAATCCATCCCAACACCTTTGAGAGTACTTACTGCTGATCCCGACACCACCCTCTGTCCCTACTCCCCTCATTCTGTCCCCATGCCAGCTCACGCACATTTGTGTATTTGAACACCCAGCTGCCATGTTAGAAAATTCAGCTGCAAACCTAAGAGTGGAAGGAAATGCATTTTGTGCAGAAGACATTTCTTTCAAGCATTGTCAGGTGATGTTTTGTTTAAGCTGTAACTCACCCCTGAAATAAAGAGGAATGATGATAGCCGGCCAAGCAAGGCCTGACTCACAGTGGTGGACACATCCAGCCTCCCCCACCCAGCCATCAGCGGGCTCCACTGAACAGTCTCTTCAGGGGGCTGCGTTTCCCTTGGCCCTGGGTGTGGGTTTTACAAGACTGTCTTTCATGATATCACAGCCTAACCATGCAAGAAATGTTCAGACTCCTCTTGCTCATTAGTTTGAGAAAAAGGAAAGAAAGGACGAGATTTGTGAAAATTAAAGGGCAAGCAAACTTGTTTTCTGGGGAAGATGATGCTAGCTGCAGCCTCCAAGCATTCACTAAGCCCCTTCTGTTTTTCAAGCCTTAGTATGTGGGTTATGTGGTAGATAGTTCTTTTGCTCACTTTATAGATAGTCAAACAAGCCCAGACATGGGTCACTTGTCATGTAAGCAGTTGAGTGGAGAGCTGGGTCTCAAAATCAGGTCATCTAATCATCACCACTGACTGAGCATCAGGTGTGCCAAGCATGCCAGGTGCATATTCTTGCATCATCACAACAGGGAAAGTATATACTTGGAATGTGCCCACTTTATAGACGAAGAAACTGAGGTAAAGGGACTTACCCAAGGTCACACAGCACCTTAGTCTGTGGCAGATATGGGTTTCAGAGCTGGTCAGTACGTGTTGTTTGCCAACTGCATGGCACTCCAGGAGCAGCTCCAGAAGTGGTGGCTTTTATTCACTGTGACCCCCCACAAACTGCATCCACAGAGGAGACCCAAGAAAGAGGTTGGAGTCAGCTTGTAAAGAGCCCTGAATGTCAAACCAAGGACTGCCTCCAATCACATTTAGAACAAAGTCAAGTATAAATTAACAGAGAAAAGAAAATTCTAAGACTATTGGAATTTATTCCATTGCTGATGGGAGGCAGGGACAGGTTTTTGTCATGGACTTTATTATATTTGGCAACAAGTACTTCAAATAAGAAAGGACCAGGACTGGGGAGCCCCAGTGTTTCTTACTGACCTTGGATGTGAAGGCAAAGGAAGCTGTCTCCGGTGTTCTGAACACATGAAGGGGCTTTGGCTACCACCTTGGATTCCCCCGTAGAGATTTCTAGGCCTGAATATTTAATTTGCTCTGTCTGTGGAGGAGAGAAGGGAGCCTCTGTCTTGTGGGCAGCGCTAAAAGTGAGGCTGGGGTTTCCCTGGGAGTAATTTGAGTGTTCCTGAAAACCTATGTTCCAAAGCATCATTTTTCTTCTTGACAGCATTGGAAACCACTCTGGTGACAGGAGGACACAGCACTGATGGTTGACAGGGAGCCTGGGCAGGAGTCAGAGAGGCCTAGGTTGGGATCACTCTGCCTCTTATGTGCTGCATGCTTGGGCAGGGTAGAAACTGAGAGAGGGGACAGATGTCAACTCCCTTTTATGACTGAAGACCTGCAGCTTAGCAAAGACTTGGACCAGCTGAGGACCCAAGCAGCACCATCCTAGAGCTAGAAGGCACTTTTACACACATTGTTACTGACGCACCCAGGAACCCCCAAAGTTGGCCTCACTTTTCCTCCCTTCACCCCCCCATTGCCCCCAGGTGATGAACCGCAAGTTCAGAGAAGTTAAGCAACCTGCTCAGGGTCATGAATCTAACAAGTAGTAGAGTCAAGATTTGAACCAGGTCTGTTTCTACACCAAGGCCCCAAACTACCTGTTGTTAGTACTCTTCTAACAAGTCGTGTTTCCTCTTTTGCTTTGGCTGCTGGGAATCTCAAAGTCAAATTTGAGATTACTTTTTAACAATTATACTGAGTCACCGAGTGGGCTCTGACTTCATTCCAGCTTTCTGCTTTAGCCTTGACCCTGATCTGTTTATTTTTACTCTATTGTATTATACCTATATTTGTAAGTTGCCACAATACCTTTTTTTTTTTTTGCAACAATGTGGTATATACCTAAATAAATACATGATCAAAAACTCTGAAAGTCTTCACTGAACACTATGGTCTGTTTCCTTATCACAACACAGACATTTAATAACCAAAAAAGAATATTTTCCTGGAAAAAAGAGTGTTGTGGAACTAGGGAGGTAGGCCTTAGCATCTGAGTCCCATGTTTCCCAAACTTGTTGCTCCTGTGCAGACCTTCATGATTTTTGCCATTCCCCTTGACTGTTCAGTATGGTTTACTATTTCCCTTTCAGATGATTTCATTCTTTTTACTACAATAATATTATTTTAGGGGAACCCAGGTGGCTCGGTTAAGTGTCTGCCTTCAACTCAGGTCATAATCCCGGGGTTCTGGAATGGAGCCCCACATCTGGCTCCCTGATCAGCAGGGAGCCTGCTTCTCTCTCTCTGCTCTCCCCCCATTGGGTAAACTCTCTCAAATAAATGAATAGAATCTTTTAAGAAATAAATAAAATAATTTTATTTCTAAGGGAAGGTTAATAAGCTGCTAGCAAAAACAATTTTTTTTTAAATTTTCAATTTTTTGAAGGAGGAATATTACAATAGTAAAAAAGTCAGTGACCACCATGCAAGGTGGCTGGGATGGGACACTGAACAAGCAGCACTATTGCCTTCTTGTGGTGGATACTGCACCTATGAGCCCTGGCCCAGTTGCTCTTTGTGTAGAAAGTAAGATTAGCAAATGTCAGAGGGTACGAAAGACAAGCCAACAGCAAGTGGACATTGACCTTGATGTAATCCCAGGGACAGGACTAGAGGGAATGGCTTATCCCATGTGATTTAAGGGCCTTTCACCTGGTGACTTAGATGATCACTGATGGTAACACAGATTTAGACCAACTTCCACAAACACAGACACAAACACACATATAGTTAGGCCTTCCCTCTCCAGCTTTGGCAGAGCTGGGGACTGTGCCTGTGGCCTCTGGCAATAACAAGGGTCCCACTCCCCCAGGACAGCCAGCCAGAAGCACAGTGCTAATGCGCTGATAGGCGCCATTCCTGTCACCGTGCAGACCCAAACATGGCCAGTCTGTGTGTGCTCTGTGCCAGGGGTGGTGCTCAGTCTTTGCAGCATTATGTCCTTGAATCTTTCCAGTTACTTCACGCGGTTTGTCCATTTGTCCATATTGCACAAATGAGGAAACTGAGCCACGGACTGCTACCTCTTGTGTTCAAGGTCACACAGCTGGTGGTGGCTGAGCTTACGGAGTCACCCTCCAAAATGTGCACCAACCTCAGCTCATTTCAGAGCCACTGGGGACTGTGGAGGGTGCCAATGCCCACGTACCCCCACAGACCAATATAGCATAGTCTCTGGTGGAGGGCTGAGATTTAGTATATTTTAAAAGTTCCCCGGAAGATTGTGTTGTGCATTCAGGGTTGAGGCCCCCTGCTGCTCCCCTTCCCACTGCTCAGAAAGAGCATGCCATGAGCACAATGGGGTGGATCCGTCAGATGCCAGGCTGTACCCAGAATAGCATCCTCTGCCCTGGCTGCCACAGGAGAGAGAACAGAGAGAGCAGGCCTCGGCCTGGCATGTCAGCTTTTTCTCCCCTATGGGGTGGCTGCAGCTGGGGGTGGGGTTTCTAGGGCACAGAGCACAAAGGCTCCATCTGCCCCCAGGCAGTGCCCAGATGCTGTCCCGCCTACCCAGCACTGTCTGAACTCTGCCCACGTCTGGGGCCAGCCCCTCGACCCCCCACATTCCAGTAGGGACCCCATGAGGCAGGAACAGACAGGGCTTTCAGGATGCGTGCCTGCCAGGGGGGATGAATTATTACCGAGAATTATCTGCCATGAGCACAGGGTGGCATTTCACGTGCCAAAGGTTGGCTGGCCCCGCCCTGGCCCTGGCTGCTTGGCTCCGGGGCCCTCATTCCAACTGTGCGAGGACAGAAACTTTATTCTCTTCCACAGTGAGAGGCCTCCGCCCCTTACCATCTGTGCAGCACCCCCTCAGCGATCCCCACCACCCCTACCCAGGGGCCAGAGCTTTCCTTCTCCAAAGCTCAGCGCTGAGCGGATTACATAAAAGTGATTAGAAAGTCAAGTTTCCCAGGTCTTTTTAAGCCACGGATTTTATTGACAAGCAAAGCCATTGTTTCCAAGTCACTGTTGCCCCAACCTGTTCTAGCTTTTCTGCATGGGGCCCTAACAGATGCAAAGAGCTGCTGCAGCTGAGACAAGCTTATTGTGGAAGGATCCAGGGCTCAGTTTAATCCCAGCTTGGCCTCCTACCACCTGTGGAATCCTGGAAGATCCTTAGCTCAGTTTCCTCATCTGTAAAATGGAATAACAACCTTGACCTTCCAGAAATGTTGTGAGGTTGAAATGAGATAGTGGATGTGAAAAAGCTCTAAGTGGGAACATGGCAGGCATACAGCCAGGCAAGGCACGATTTCTGTCAGGGACCTCGAAGACTGACCTTGGTCTTACTCCCCAGGTTAAAGCAGACCCAAAGTGACAATTGTCGACAATTGTAAGCCATATTCTCAAAACTGATGCCCAGAGGGCAAATTTCTTTCACTTAGTGTGCCTACTTGGATCGATCAGTAATGGCTGTCTATGACTGTCTATGGGAGCAGCCCACCCAGGCCCAGCATAATTGAGAGATTAGTAATATCTGCCATGGGAATAAAAAGTTAGGGTAGGATCATACATGCTACATTTTACCATTCCTATTCTAGAACAAGGTCTAAAAATACTTCTCGCTCAAGTTTTTGTCTAGATTTGTGTGGCAGCCTCCACACTAATCTTTCTGCTTTTTGTCTCTTCCTACCCTCTGATCCTCAACTCAGCTGCTAGGGTGATTTTTTAAAATGAAAATTGGACCATTTCATTCCATTACCTATCACTGTCCCATGGCTCCTCCCATTGCTCTGAGGATCAAACCACACTCCATGATTGACATTCTGAGCCTTCACTGGCCTTCTCAGTCTCATCCATCACCACACATTTCCAAATATCCCCACCTGGAGCACCATCAATCTGAGCATCTTGAAGAGCTGAATTGTGAGGATTCAAGGCAGCTTGGAAAGTCAGACCGAAAACCCTATACCCAGACTCACAAGATCAAATCAAGATCAGAGGGGCAGCCAGAGACCTCTCAGCATTTGCCACCAGTGAATTTAACAAACCAGAAGGGGCTGGTAAACTTCCAATGACTCCTGCGGTGCAGTTTACCAAGGCTGTCATCCTGCTCACTCCCTAACTGCACTGATGGGATTAGTCCTGAGTTGCTCCTGCAGAGGGGAATGCACCCTGCTCTCTCTCCTGATTGCCCATTCCCACACAACTCTCTCATCAGCAAGACCCAGGATGGAGGCTTTCAGGCACTGCTGTGTCCAAAGCTTTCTTATCCAGGATCCAGACATTTGCATAAGGATTCCTGCCCCATCCTAGGCCAGTGGGGTTCCTCTCCATCCCCCACCCCCCCACCCCCGCCTCAGTCCTAACTCTTGCTATTCCCCTGAAGGCAATCAGATAATTCAATCTTTCAGTTTCACAAACTTTACCCTGAGCTCCTGCTCTGGCCAGGCTCGGGGATAAGCACTGGGGATACAGAGAATGCACCATCCTTCAGTGGATATTGTCAATTAAGCTGGCTGGAAGGCTTGATGCTCCAGAAGCACTGCATGGCTGAGAAATGAGGACCATATAAACAAATCTCAGTGTGCTTCTGAGATTGGGATGTTTACTGAAATCATTAAGCAAGAGTTTAGGCTTGCTGAAGAGGCAACCACATGAATGAGTGTCTTTTTTTTTTTTTTTATGAATGAGTGTCTTGAGGGAAAATACCTTCTTTAAAGAAAAGAATCCAAAAAATAATAATAATAATAAAGAAAGAAAGAAAAGAATCCAAACAGGCTTCTTTCTTTTTTTCTATTTAACTTGTTACTTTGAAATAAGTCAAGGTTCTAAGTTACAAGAGCAGGACAGAGGATTCCCACATACCTTTCCCCCATGTCCGCTGATTATTCACATTTTTAAAAAAGATTTTATTTATTTATTCATGATAGACATAGAAAGAGAGAGAGAGGCAGAGACACAAGCAGGCTCCATGCCGGGAGCCCAAAGTGGGACTTGATCCTGGGACTCCAAGATCACACCTGGGGCCAAAGGCAGGCGCTAAACCGCTGAGCCACCCAGGGATCCCAATTATTCACATTTTTGACATTGCTTTATTATTCTCTTTCTAGGTATATCCTTTTTTCTGAACCATTTGAAGGTAAGTTCCAGATTTGATGCTCCTTTCACCCTAAATACTTCAGTGTTTATTTCCTGAGAACATAGACACACATATAACCACAGGACAATTAGCAAAATCAGGACATTCAGCATTGACATAACATTCTATCTAATCTACAGGTCTTTTTTTAATATTTTATTTATTTATTCATGACAGACACAGAGATAGAGAGAGGCAGAGACACAGGCAGAGGGAGAAATAGGCTCCATGCAATTGTCAGATATTTCTTCATGATTAAATCAGGCTACACATTTTAGGTAGGGATGTTTCAGGCAGGGCAGAAATAATTATTGTCTTTCTCAGTGCATCCTATTGAGAAGCCCTGGTTGGGGGGAGCCTGGCTGGCTCAGTCAGTAGAGCATGCAACTCTTGATCTCAGGATTGTGGGTTTGTTGGATATAGAGATTACTCAAAAATATAAAATCTTTTAAAAAGGGGGCAGGGGAGTGAAGCACTTGATGTCAAGTTGTCCCATTATAGGTGATGGTTATTTTGGTCACTTAGTTAAGGCATGTGCTATCAGTTTTATCTACTATACAATTACTAATTTCTCCTTATAACTCACAAATTCTAGGGGAGTACTTTGAGACTATATAGACATTTTATTCCTCATCAAACTTTCACCCTTTATGTTTATATCTTAATGATTCTTATCTATAGTAATTATTACCCTGATGATTACAAAATTGTGACTTAAGATTTCTATTGTTATTAGCATTCTACTGTAAAGAAGAGCTTACAGTAGATGTACATATATGCTTGTATGTATGATGGGCCATGAATTCTTATCTTATTCCATAGGTGATAATTCATTACTCTCATTATTTACTTGATAACCAAACTGTTGCAGATATGTCTGAAATGAGAGCTCATTCAGGCTAGATTTCTATGGCCTTTTGCTATGTCTCTCTTATTTGCTGAGTGCTTGCTTACTTTCAAGTGCAAAAAAATGACCCAGGCTCATCTTGCACTCTCTCTGGCCTGGTGCAGAAATCAGCCATTTCTCTCCAGAGCTCTGGTTCCTTTGGAAGAAGATGGTATTTAGAAGCAAGGAGCTAGCCAATAGGTGGGCTCATTGTTTCTAGATCCTCTCAGTGAACAGAACTAGGAAATACATGCATACCTAAATATAAATCCAGGAGTTCATCCTGTTACCTCCTATTCCAGGCCAATATCACAACATTCTTCCTGGCCTTCCCCATGGCATATTTGTGTGTCCCTTCTATATCAGTGAGAAACCTGGCTCTCAATATCCTCAATGTATTTCATCTTTTACTCAATCTTCCAGTACCCAGAGAATAGTTTTAGAATTGCTGATCTATGCCAGTATGAAAAACAAGCCTGTTAGGTAGAGTTTTTAATATTTGTTTGCAGGAGGCCTTGGTGGCTCAGTGGTTGAGTGCCTCCCTTCGGCCCAGGGCGTGATCCCGGGGTCCTGGGATTGAGTCCCACATAAGGCTCCCTGCGTGGAGCCTGGTTCTCCCTCTGCCTACACCTCTGCCTCTCTCTGTGTCTCTCATGAATAAGTAAATTAAATCTTTAATAATAATAATAATAATAATATTTGTTTGCAATTTTTAAATCTTTTTTTTAATTTTTTAAAAATTTATTTATGATAGTCACACACACACACAGAGAGAGAGAGAGGCAGAGACATACGCAGAGGGAGAAGCAGGCTCCATGCACCAGGAGCCCGACATGGGATTGGATCCTGGGTCTCCAGGATCGCGCCCTGGGCCAAAGACAGGCGCTAAACCACTGCGCCACCCAGGGATCCCTTTAAATCTTTTTTTTAATTTTTATTTTTATTTATTTATGATAGTCACAGAGAAAGAGAGAGAGAGAGAGAGAGAGAGAGGCAGAGACACAGGCAGAGAGAGAAGCAGGCTCCATGCACTGGGAGCCCGATGTGGGATTCGATCCCGGGTCTCCAGGATCGCGCCCTGGGCCAAAGGCAGGCGCCAAATCGCTGCGCCACCCAGGGATCCCTTTAAATCTTTTTTTAAAGTAAGCTCTATACCCAAAGTGGAGCTTTAACTCATGACCCAAGATCAAAAGTCTCATGCTTTACTGACTGAGCCAGCCAGGTGCCCCTTTAATTTAAACGAATTTGCATGTTATCCTTGCTCAGAGGCCATGCTAATCTTCTCTGCATTGTTCCAATTTTTGTATATGTGCTGTCAAAGCGAGGACACAATTCTTTTTGTCTTCAGACTGAGAGTATATATCAAAGTTCTGTATTCAAAAGTTACCCAGGTTGGTTCTATCCACCTCCTTCTGCATGGTTTGTTATTTATCTGAAATATAATTCTATAATTTATCAGTACAGACTATTTCATTAGAGTTTTTTTCTTTCAAGGCTTGTTTTAGTTCCCTCATCAATAACACATAACTAAACTTTATTTTTCTGCTTTTTCACTTGTCTTCTTCCTGTTTTTGTTTTCATAAAGGAAATTAACCCATTTACATGTATAGTGAAAGCTACTATGTCTGGTCTTTTTCCTGATGTTTTATTTGTAGTTTTTATTTGTTTACCTCTTCATATGTCTTTTTTTTTTTTAAGTAGGCTCCACACCCAATGTGGGGCACAAACTCATGACCCTGAGATTCAGAGTCAGAAGCTCTACCAACTGAACCAGCCAGGCCTCCCCACCTTTTTAATACAACTGGGAGAGAAATGGCAGCCCCTTTGATCTGCCAGTGCCCAGCATCTGGCCTGGAACATAGTAACTAACGCTCAGCAAATGTTTGTGGAATGTTGACTGAAAGCTCAACAAGTAGCTTTCCCTTGTACCTGGATAGACAGACATGCAATCTTGACCTTATTGAGATGGTAGCGATGACTATCACAGCAGTTGCCATGAAGTTGAATAATAATGTGGAAAGTCTTAGCAGAGGGCCTGAATGTTGTAGTCACTGAATAAACTATACCTGTTATTTTTGAACACAAACTAAGAACTGGCATGGAGCTATATTATCTTATTTGATCCTTACAATAATCCTGTTTTACAGATGAAGAAAAAGGGTTTAGAGAAGTAATTTGTCTTTACAACTAGGAAGAATTCAGATCTGACTTCAGAATCTACCCTTTACCCACCACATGTCCCTGTATCTACATATTCAGAGACAAACACATACACAGGTAATCCCAGGAATTCTGAAGCTGTTGCTCACAAGGCCAAAGTTTCCTTAGCTGGACCCAACTGCCAGCCCTGGACCCTGGAAACCCATGCACAGAATGGAGGCCAATCCCATGTAGTCAGGCCTGTGAAGGGATAAGGAAATGCTCCTTTGATGGCTTCGAAATGTACCACCATACAGTGTCCTCCTCATCAAAATTAACTTGGATTTGTAAGGTGTGGCCAAAACATGTGGAAATGCACATTCTTGTGTTTTGCTAGTGGCAGTGTAAATAATGGCAGGCAACATCCATGAGAGCTTATTCTAGGCCTTTACACCAGGGTTTCTCAATCTCAGCACTATTGACATTTGGGACTGGATCATTCTGAGTTGGTGGAGGGGGGCTGTCCTGTGCATTGTAGGATGTTTAGCAGCCTCTCTGGCCTCTCCTTATCAGATGTCAGTGCTATCACATCCCAGTTGTGACAACTAAAAATGTCTCTGGACATTTTTGCCAAATGTCTGCTGAGGGGTAAAGTCACCCCCAGTCGAGAACCACTGCTTACATGTGTCACACTAATGCAATGCTCATAACAGTCATATGAAATTGGCACTTTCATCACCCCCATTCTATAGATAAGGAAGCTGAGGCATAGATAGGTTCAGGTCCTACCTTTAAAGAGCAGTAGAAAATGGATTAAAACTCAGGCAGTTAGAGTCCAGAAGCTACATTGCTTCAGTGTAATGCACAGCCTTTCTGATCTGACTTTTCTCTAGAACAATTTGGGAAAATATAAAAAGAAATAAAAATGCATGCTATTTGGCCCATAGTCTATATCTAGAACTTTAAGGAAATGTACATACAAGATGCTCATCTCATCCTTTACAGTCACAAAAAGCTGGAAAGGCATTAAAGACCCATGGGGAGGGGGGTCAACCTTTGCCTTCCTTGTGGGCCTGAGTGCTTAAGCACTGAGCTCAAACCAATATTATTATTTTTTAAAAAAGATTTTATTTATGTATTTTATTTTAGAGAGAGAGAACAGGGAGAGGGGCAAAGAGAGAGAGAGAGAGAGAGAGAGAGAGAGAGGCACATTCCCTGCTGAGTGCAGAGCCCTACGTGGGACTTGATCTCAAGACTCTGAGATCATGACCTGAGCCGAAGCCAAGGGTCAGACACTTGACCAACTGAGCCATCCAGGCACCCCAAAATCATTTTTTAGCTTCACAAATTATTCTATAGACATTAAAAAGGATTATACACTACTGACATAGAAAAATTCCTCAATATTTTACTGAATAATAATTTAAGAAAAGAATAGAAAACTCCACGTAGAGTATGGTTTTATTTCTAGAAAAATGTTATGTATATATAGCAAGGGAGAAAAGTACTATTCGTAACTGGAGGTAATTTCAGTAGCTCTTGCATTTGTTGAGAATATTACCTGATGGCATGCCTGGTGTGAGAGGAGGGCCAGTCACAGAAGGCTACATATTATGTGATCCCATTTATGTAAAATGTTGGGATGGGCAGATCTATAGAGGCAGAAAGATTAGCAATTGCCAGGGGCTGGGGGAGTGGGAACTGGGGAGTGACTACCAGTGCATATGTGGATTTTTTATGGGGTGATGAAAATGTTCTGGAATAAAATAGTGATGATGGTTAAACAATCTTGTTACTATACTAAAATTCACTGAATGGTAGACACAGAAAGAGAGGCGGCGAAGACATAGGTAGAGGGAGAAGCAGGCTTCTCGCGGGGAGCCCAATGTAGGACTCGATCCTGGACCTCCGGGACCACACCCTGAGCCGAAGGCAAACGTTCAACCACTAAGCTACCCAGACATCCCTAAATAAAATCTTTTAAAAAATTTTTTGTTTAATATCAAAGAGTACCTAGACAACATGGGCACAGCCAGGGCTTCACAGGGCTTCCATGCACACACCTCTGGCACTCTCCCATTGCTCTCTACGTTCAAGCCTCAAAAGCCTCTTGGATTAGAGGTTATCTTCTTTGATGGGCTTTAGTAGAGCCAAAGGACAGTTTTGGAGGATGATGGTCATAATCTTCATCAGCTCTCACTCTCACAATCCAGGTAAAAACAATATGCAATTACTGCAGGAAAAACTCTTCAGCCCCCACCTCCAAATAGACCAACTTCCCCAAAACCCAATTCAAAATCATGTAAACAAACAAGGGGCCTTGTTTTCCTTGCATAGCAAGAAGTCCTGGGTAGGGCAGTACAGAATTGTTTATCCAAAGGCTAGAGAACATCACTGAAGACCCAGATTCTTGCTTTCTTTGGCTCGGCCACTGCCAGATGGTCTCATCCTCAGGGATGCAAGATGGCTGCAGCAGTTCCAAGTATCACATCCTCACCAGGGTGTCCAGAGGCAGAAAGGAGTTTAGCTGGTCCTTCCCAGAAATCCTCCTGCAGATTATTTTCCCCCTCCCCAGAGTCAGAACTGGACCATGTGCCCTTCCTTGCCCTCAACCACTGGCAAAGGAATGAAGATCACTGTATTCCACTTAAACTCATCAGGATTTACCTGAGTAAAGTAGTAAGTTAATGGCTGGAGAGGTAGACACCAGAACAAAATCTGGTTTCTACAGTGATGGAAGAAGGGGAACTGGCCATCAGCCATGGTGGCTACATTGGAATTCCTCCTCCAGAGGCTTGCCCTCTAGCTGATCTCTCCAGGTTAACATGTCTATATTCACATCAACCTGTCACCTCCTCCAGGAAGCCCTCCCTGTCTTCACTGACTAGGTCAAAGAACCAGCACTTTCTTCACAGCTCTGGCCACAGTTGCAACTAAATAATCACATAGGTCATTCTTTGATGAAAATCTGTCCCCTAGACAAATGCATTAGTATGTTACAAGAGGCAGATGTGATATCTGGAAGATGATATCAAGAGCTTTCTCAGGGTGGTGAGATTTTTTATTAAAATATAATACACAGCAGAGTGCTCACATCTTAGGCGTAGCTAAATGACTATATAAATGTGTAAGCAGTTGGGGGTGATGGTGACATAGAGTAATTTTATTTTCCTCTCTGTCCTTTCATGGGAGGTTTAAATCTTTTTCAGTTTTACAAGGGGCTGAGTCATTGATAAAAAAACAAAGCTTTTATTATTATTATTATTATTTTAAACCAAAAAAATGTCATTTTCAACTATTGAGGATGTGGAAGGAGACCATGGGGTGCTAAGAATTTCTTCTTTTCTTTGTTTTATTTTCCTGTCCTCCCCAATCTCCCAGCAGGAGCACCCTCCTGGAGTTTTAGATAACCTCCTCAGTCCTCCAGGGGATAGGTAGGAGTGTGTTACAAAGGTCCAAAAGGCTGTCTGCTGGGCTCAAGATTAAAATGAGGCAAAAAGGTAAATTTTCATGAGAAAAATGATATGTATTTGTGTTTTGCTTTTCTCTTTCTCCAAAAGCAGGAATTTGGGGGATTTGAAACATTTGGCCCTTTTAATAAAGAACTGGAATTTCCTCTTAAAGATACTCCCATGTAGGGCAGCCCTGGTGGCTCAGCGGTTTAGCGCCTCCTTCAGCCCAGGGTGTGATCCTGGAGACCCAGGATTGAGTCCCACGTTGGGCTCCCTGCACAGAGCCTGCTTCTCCCTCTGCCTGTGTCTCTGCCTCTCTCTCTCTCTCTCTATGTCTATAATGAATAAATAAATAAATAAATAAAATCTTTAAAAAAATACTCCCATGTTAATAATTTGTATGTGATAGTGTTTATTTATTTATTTTTGATAGTGTTTATTGGTTCATTTATTCATTCACTCATTCATTCGCTGGGGTCTGCCTCCGTACCTGACCCATCTTAAGTGTGGGGGAACATCGAGATTGATCAGATCTGGTGCCTGTCCCCAAGGAGACAGACAACAGTCACAACAACCACTTCAAACTATGATTGGTGCACTCATGATTGCTGAGTGGGCATGGCATATAGCAGAGGCTATCATCCAAGGGATGGGACATTTGAAATGGGTTTTGAAAAATACATAGAAGTTTGCCAGGCAGAGAAGGAGTGGAAAGGCATTTCAGGCAGAGAGAACAG